TTCCTGTTTTTCCTTTGTCATCACCCCTTTCTCCATTCCTCAAATCTAGGAAATTAACTGAGCACCTCCTCAGTGCAGAGCTCAGTCCCAGGCCCTGTTGGTGGGACCATGTTGAGTGGGGCAGGGAGGCCAGGCCCTGAAGTTTCAAGGAAGTGAAGTCAGACCATGTCATGTTCAGACCCCGGAACCAACACTTTCTAGCTGTGTAACCTTGATCTTCACTTAGCCTCTTAACACTTTCCTCATCTGTCAGATGACAGGAATACGCATACCTACCTCACAGGTTGGGGCGAGAGTAAGCAGGAGAACACCCGGTACGAAACAGTCTCGGTGGATGTGACCGAGTAGTAGTATTAGGATGTGCTCTACGGCCACGAGGGGCTCAGTGTCCCCCGGGGGACACGTGGCACAGTTCATTAGGGATCGGAGGGGCCATTGGCAGCTCAAGTCAGCTTGAGGCTCTGAGTGTGATGTGGTGGAGGGGGTAGAGTGGACATTCCGGGCCAGAGGCGGCAGGGCTGAGTAGAGGCCGGCAGGTGCCTCCCGAGAAGGCAAGTGGGACTGAAGCCGGCTTTGGGCCACGGAGAGTAGAGCTGAGCAGGGAGTTGGGGGGGGTGGTTCTGGGCAAAGCCAGGCTGGCCTGGAGGGAGGACGGACAGTTCGGCTGGACATCTGTGCAGTAGAAGGTCCAGAGGAGTCCAGGGCAAGAGGCTGGATCCTCATCCTCGGGGCTCCTATGCTGACCGATTCTCTGGGAGCAGGACTAGTAGGAGGGGAGCAGAGGTGAGGTGAGAGTGAGCTCGGGAACATCTGGAGACAGCTGCAGGTGGCTCAGGCCTCAAGGCAAGGATGTGGCAGGGTTGCTGGACGAGAGTCACCTGAGCTGGTCCCTGGATGGACGTGTGGGTCTGGACGAGGCGAGGGAAGGCCCCGGAGATCTAGGACAGCCTGCGTGGGACTCAGAGACGGCCGTGGGCGGAGGGAGCTGGTGTTTGACAGCCATGGGGGATTCATGGAGACGAGGGGCTGTGTCCGGGCTCCAGTGCGGGGCCGTGACAGGACACTCTGGGGGAGGGGTGTGCCAGGCCCTCGGAAAAGGAAGACCTTTTCTTTCTCCTTCATTGCCTCCTCACTCTCTGCTTTAACGCAGAGCTCTCGCCTGCTTCCTCCCCTCTTCCGGGCCTTCCTGGGCAGGTGCTCAGCAAATGCTGTGGCCTGAGGGGCGGGCAGCTCAGCAGATACTCAGGAAGTTGTCCCTGGGGACGTCACAGATGCGCCTTTGCCCGCATCCTTCGTGGCATCTGAGCAGACTCACACAGCCGCCTTCCCCACCGCGCATGGCAAACCCACCTGTTGGGTGTCGCATTCCCTCCCGTTGGCCTTGACTCCGTTAGTGAGTGATTAAAATGAACCGATATGTCCACTGACGGAACCACCCAGGCGCCCCAAGCATTTTTTTCCTGATTATAAAATAACACATGCTTGCTGTAAAAAAATTCAAGCAGTGCGGGCACCCACAAAGTGAAAAGTGCACGGCCCCCTAGGCTGCCAACCCCTCGTTTACCAGTCTGGTGTAGAAAGCAAAGTTTCGCGAGAAGGCCGTGGTGGGGAGGGACCGGCTGGTGGCAGGCTTCCGAGCCAGCCCTAGCAGCTGGGGCTTTGTCCTGTAGGCAGTCAGGGGTCAGTGAAGGTCTGTGACAAGATGGAAACTTGGAGAGAAGCCAAAACGCCAATGAAGACAACTCGTCTGCAACACGTAGCCCCGTGCACCCCTGTGCGTATCCATGTGGAGTCACCCCTACGAAGCCCCAACTGGCCACTAGACTTCTCTCGTGCTCACACTGTTAGGCTCCTCTGCTCCGGGAATTGACCTTGTCTGGTCCCTCCAGGACTCTAGGCTGGGGGCACAGTGCCCCTGGCAGCCCCAGGCCCCACCTCGCTTCTCCCCCCCCCCCCCAGGTCCTTGGGCATGAAACTTCGAGGACTGCTGGACCGCAAGGGCTCCTGGAAGAAGCTGGATGACATCCGGAATATCTTCTGGTGTCACAAGACCGTCACTTCAGGTGTGCAGAGCTGGGCAGATGTCTGTCCCCTGCCCCTACCCCGTGCTCAGAACCCTCAGCCCCATTCTGGGAAGGGGCCCTCCTCCAGCCGTCCCAGGGAGACTGTGGAGTCCCAGCGCGTGGGGCTCCTGGTTTCGTGAGTGGCAACCATCACAGAGGCCCCTTAGGAGCTCACGCCGTCTCCCCTTTCCCTGGGAGGGGACAGGAATAGGGGAGTGAGGACAGAGAGACATTCCACCTCCCTGGGAGAGGGTCAAGGGTCATTTAGGGAGTCCTAATCCTGACCAGGGGCACTGGCCTCTCTTCCCCTACTGCGACCATCGCGAGTTCTGTCACTGGGGCCAGGCTGGGGTTCGGGTCTCTGCACCGCCACTCGGCTGGGCCAAGTCACTCCGTCTCTTTGACTCTCAGGGTCCTGCGTGAAATTGATTAATTTCACCTGCCTCGCAGGGCTGCTGGGAGGGGAGCCTAAACCAAGGGAGCAAAGGACTGGGCACGGGGAGGATCTAGGGATGTGGCTTCCAGACCCAGTGGTCCCCTCTCTTGCCCCCTAGAGTATGTCACCGAGCACTGGTGTGAGGACCCGTTCTTTGGGTACCAGTATTTGAATGGTGTCAATCCCGTCATGCTCCACTGCCTCTCCAGCCTGCCCAGCAAGCTGCCTGTCACCCATGACATGGTGGCCCCCTCGCTGGGTCCGGACACCTGCCTGCAGACAGAACTAGAGGTGGGTGATTTGTCGTCATGGATACAGGATGGGCGTGGCCGGTAAGGGCCGGACGGCTGGGGCCACCTCCAGTCTGCAGGCCTCATCCGCTGGGCAGCACCGGCTTCGAATTGGTGCAAACGGAGGTGGGGGCCAGAAGGCGCTCAGCCATGCCTGGAAGCCTGAGATGGGGCCTGGTGAAGAGCGAGCAGGACAGCCTGGAGGAGAAGGCCCTGCCCGTGTTCTGGGGCTTCCAAGATCCCCAGAGCTGAGGCCCAAAGAAAGCTACGTTAGGACAGGGGGAAGGCAGCGCAAGGAAACACAGGAGGAGCAATCACGGGGCCGTAGGAGCTCTGAGGGTCTGGGAGAAAATGATGGGCCAGTCTCTCTGCGGCAGCCAAGCCCTCGGGCATCCTCCAGGAGGCTGGAAACGTCGCAGTCAATTCTGTGTGTGTTTATCTTGCTGTTGTTGGATACACTGACAGGGTCACTGAGTGGAGAGAGCAGGAGGGACCAGGCAGGGGCGTGGGGAGAGGATGCCAGCTTACACAGGTGGGAGGTTGTGCAACGCGGACTCAGCTGGACCTCATTCCGGACATGCTGCGAAGGGTTGGGTATCTAACTCTGGACATGAGCGCAAGCGCCAAGTATTACTGAGGCCGAATCGGGGTGGGAGTGGGCGGAGAACAGAGAAGGCAGTGGAGCGCGGGTCGGGGGCCACTTGTGAGCCTCTGTGCGCCTTCCCCAGAGGGGGAATGTCTTCCTAGCGGACTACTGGATCCTGGAGGAGGCCCCCGTCCACTGCCTCAACGGCCGCCAGCAGTACGTGGCCGCCCCGCTCTGCCTGCTGTGGCTCAACCCGCAGGGGGCGCTGGTGCCCTTGGCCATCCAGGTGAGACCTGGGGCGGGCTTCGGGGGCGGGCTCAGGCGGCACGCCGGCAGCCTCGAGCCTCAACCCCCTTATTATTCTTGGACGCAGCTCAGCCAGAACCCCGGGCCCCAAAGCCCCATCTTTCTGCCCACTGACTCCTACTGGGACTGGCTGCTGGCCAAGACGTGGGTGCGCAACTCGGAGTTCCTGGTGCACGAGCACAACACGCACTTTTTGTGCACGCATTTGCTGTGCGAGGCCTTCTCCATGGCCACACTGCGCCAACTGCCGCTGTGCCATCCTGTCTACAAGGTCGGTGAGACCCCCGGGCCGGGCTAGAGGGGGCGGGCCAGCTCGGCCGGCTCCCCTGACCTTCGGCTCCTGCGCTCTCATCCCGCTCGCAGCTCCTGCTTCCCCACACTCGCTACACGCTGCAGGTGAACACCATCGCTCGAGCCACGCTGCTCAACCCCGACGGCCTGGTGGACCACGTGAGCCCTCCGGCCCCCTTCCGCCCCGTCTCTGAAGCCCCGCCCCGGGGGCGCTTTGCCCCGCCCACAAGCCTCTACGGCCTGCAATCCCATTCCACGGTCCCTGCCAGACCCTTCCCACAAGCCCCGCCTGCCTCCCCCCATTGGTTTCCTACTTGCCCCGCCCACAAGCCTCTACGACCTCCAATCCCATTCCACGGTCCCTGCCAGATCCTTCCCACAAGCCACGCCCCGGCCCCTATTTGCCCCGCCCGCAAACCCTGTCCCCGCCCCCTCTGTCCCACCCACGGGCTCCGCACCTGCAGGCCCCTGGCTTCTTAGTTTCTGGAGGTGGGGGTGGCCGGCTCCCCTTTGACCACATCCTCCGCTGACCCTGCGCCGAGCTGGCCCTCTCGTCCTCGCCTCCCCGGCGTTAGTTACCAAATACCTAAGGATTACCTCCCACGCACGTAGGAGGCCCGCCACCTCCGCAGCCCGCGCAGGCACCTCGATGGAGGACCAAGGGCTCCTTGGTTAACTGAATAATTCCCCCCTGCTGAGTCACTAGCCTCCTCTTGCCCCCAGGCACTGGGGTGGGGTCTGGGCCGTCCCCAAGCCCAGCTGTCTTGTGTTGTCAGGTGACGTCCGGCGGGAGGCAAGGCCTCCTCTACCTCATAAGCACAGGTCTGGCCCACTTCACCTACACCGATTTCTGCCTTCCGGACAGTCTGCGGGCCCGCGGCGTCCTGACCATCCCCAACTACCATTACCGAGACGATGGCCTGAAGATCTGGGCGGCCATTCAGAGGTGCGGGGTGCAGGCCTGGGACCTTGCAGCCAGTCTGGCCTCACCAGGGCCTCCTGGCTCAGGGACAGGGTGGACGCCTGTACTCATGCGGGCTGGGGCGCATGGGGCTGGGGGTGGTGGCTGTGTTTCAGGCCCCAGCACGGAGCACCCCAAGGGTGAGAATTGGGGTTGGGGTCCTCAGTGAAACGACAGGTAGCTGTGGCCTGGGGAGAGCCTGGGCTGTGTATGAATGCGGGGGAGAAAGGAAAGGGCAGGGTGTCCAGAGGAATCAGGGCAGGTGAAGTGTAGGCTGGGACCCCAGGCTCTCTCGTCAGTGCACTGTCCCCCCAGATGCCTGTGTGGAAAGGAGGCCCCGAGTACCCATGACTCGGGAGTGCCCAAACTTGGGCCCTTGGGTTCCATCCGGATCTGGGGGTCCCCGCTGGACCCTGGTAGGCTCCCAGTGGGTGCTGGCTGTCTGGCTCTCCCCAGCCTCAGGGCCTTGGATTTCTGGCCAGCCTTGAGCCCAAGGTCAGGCCCGTAGCATTTGCATGTCTTTTCTGCAGCTTTGTCTCAGAAATCGTGGGCTACTATTATCCTAGCGACGCATCTGTGCAGCGGGACACGGAGCTGCAGGCCTGGGTCGGCGAGATTTTTGCTCAGGCCTTCTTGGGCCGGGAAAGCTCAGGTATCTCCTCTTCATCCCCCAACCACAAGCTCCAAAGGACTCAGTGCCCTCCTTGGCCTCACCTGTTACTTAGTTCTTACTTATGGACCAGCCTTTGAAGTACATCCTATGCTTTTTTTCTTGAGGCTTTTCCCCTCCTCTTTAAACAACAAATTTTATTTTTTTTAAATGTTTATTTATTTTTGAGAGAGAGAGAGAGAGAGAGCGTGAGCGGGAGAGGGGCAGAGAGAGAGGGAGACAGAATCCGAAGCAGGCTCCTGGCTCTGAGCTGTCAACACAGAGCCTGACGTGGGGCTCGAACCCACGGACCATGAGATCATGGCCTGAGTTGAAGTCGGGTGCTCAACCCCCTCAGCCCCCCGGACGCCCCACTTTAAATCACATGACATCTGCCGTGGCTGGATTGAAAACGCGGGACTAGCTGTTCTGCAGAATGTGTCGCCTTCCGAGTTAATCCAGTGGCTTCCTCGCGAGGTCATTCAGCTTGCTACTCTACTCGCTGTGTGTTCTGTCGATGGGAAGTAACATCTAAAGGTTAAATGTTGGGGCAAGAATATTTCTCAAGTGATGGTATGTTCCCCACGTTGCATCACACGGGGAGGCAAGTAGGGTCAGGTTGTCTCACTGTTAGCGATGCCGAGTGATTTCTGGGTTAAGGTGGTGACAAGGTCTCTTTGGGATATTTCAAGGATGACCCATCCCCTGCTTTGCAAGCCCACTGTTAATCCTGGGCTGGCCTGGTCCTGAATGCTCCTCCCCCAAAGGCAGTTTTTGTTTTGTTTTTCCTATTTGGGGCTGTTTCCTATTTGAGACCTGGGATGGGGGGAATCTAATTACTGTTGGTTGACTCCCCTATCTTACTTTATTATTATTTTTTAATTTTTTAATGTTTATTTTATTTTTGAGAGAGAGAGAGACAGACAGACAGATAGGGTGCGAGCAGGGGAGAGGCAGAGAGAGAGGGAGACACAGAACCAGAAGCAGGCTCCAGGCTCTGAGCTGTCAGCACAGAGCCCGACGCGGGGCTCGAACTCATGAACTGTGAGATCATGACCTGAGCCAAAGTCGGACGCTTAACTGACTGAGCTACCCAGGCACCCCTATTATTATTACTATGTTTTAATGTTTATTTATTTCGAGAGAGAGAGAGCACAAGCTGGGAGGGGGGCAGAGAGAGAGGGAGAAAGAGAGCGAGAGCAAGAATCCAAAGCAGGTTGCACGCTCTCAGCACAGAGCCCAACACGGGGCTCAAACTCACAAACCGTGAGATCCTAACCTGAGCTGAAATCAAGAGTCGGAGGCCTGACCGACTGAGCCGCCCAGGCGCCCCTCTCCTAGCTTACATTATTAAACCTGTCTCTGACTTAATACATC